CGACAACTAATATCTGTCTTCACATTCTCCACCCCCCGCTTTATACACCATCAGACTTCCTTGCAATCGCCCTGCAGCTTGATGCTGATCTTCCCCAACTACAGCCAAAGGATTGTAATTATACCAACGACGGAGGCTTTACCATTGTCCTCCTACAAGTAGCATGCTTGAGCAGGTGAGTGGTTTTTAATCCTCCATCCTACATCTATGCCTGCATTGGGCATGGGCGTGTCCATCACATGACCATTGTGCATGGCTCTTACCACTGGGAGCTGTGGGACAACGGCACCATGGTCCATGCCATGACTGATGTCACTGGTTTCTTACAAAATGATGTTGTTTTCTTGCCACAACAAACCGTCCACAATTTCTTTTATGTCGAAGATCATTCCTCTGGCCCCATGCTGCAGCAAAACAATGTAGCAACATTGTGCGATCTTCTCCTTTGCACATCGACAAACACTGTTACACTTGGTTGTACCCGCCATCGTCTCTGTCACAATCGCAACAATGACTTGGTTTCTGCATCCATGTGTGCATAGGACTGTCCCTCCATTCCTGACTGCAGGCACCCTCCGCATCCAGACACTATATGTCCATTTTGCGGCCATGGACGCTATACCGAATGCATGGTCTTTTGGGGTGACCGTTCTTCCTTCATTTTGGCCTGCGATCGACATGCCATGGTCTTTTGGTGGGCATGCTCAATGCCAGCCGTCGTGGCAATTGTTGCACTGAAATGCTCAGCTAGGTCTTCCATGTGTTCATCCACCTCATCCTTACAATGTATGTCCTCTCTGTCGTCAAGGACAGACTCATTCTTGAGCCTCCACACTGCGTACTTTCCCTTACTTTCCCTTTATCGTTCTTTGTTTGTCTGCTCTCCATCTCTCCTCCCTGTGTTTATCCCCTCCCCCTTCACTCTGCCTCTTTCTCACAGCGTACAAGTGGACCGTTATGGTACACGGGGATGGGGGCAGCTCGCGCTCAACTTCATCAACGTGGCGAGCCTTGTACGTGAGAGGCACGATGAAGGGGAGGTTGAAAGAAGAATGAGAAAAATGAATGGTTTCAGTGTGCCCTTCATGTTTTTCTTGTCTTTTAATTTTTTGTTTCTGCCATTTGTTTCGCAAAGTGCGCTCTTTTAGTTCATAGTTATGTGACAATATATATATACGAACTAAAGGAAGAAATGATCAAACAGTTTCAGTGTGCTTTTCATGTTTGTCTTCTCTATTTTTGCCATTTGTTTCGCAAAAGTGTGCTATTTTAGTTGATAGATGTGTGACAATGGGCCTTACTTCACTACACACACACTACATGCATTCTGAATGTATTGGGTCCAGAAAGAGTCCAAATGCATATACATTTGTGTAGTGGAGCGAGGCCCTATACAATGTTGCACGCCCGGTCACGGCCGGGGCCGAAAACTCGGCCGTGGCCTCGGCCGTCGGCCAAATCGGCCGGGTTCAGCCACGGCCGACCAGCCAAGTTTGGTGCAGCTATTTTTTTCCCATATTTTAACGCACAAAAAAAAAATTAAAAAAATGGGCGTGTAGGGTTTTTTGAACCCTACACGCCCATATATTTTTTTGGGGCATTGTTGTTTTCTATTGCGTAAAAAAAAATAAAAACAAAAAAAGAAAATGAAAAAAAAA